AGAGAGTGTGTGTGTGTGTGTGTGAGAGAGAGAGAGAGAGAGAGAGAGTGTGTGAGCGAGAGAGAGAGAGAGAGAGAGAGTGTGTGTGTGAGAGAGAGAGAGAGAGAGCATGTGTGTGTGTGTGTGTGTGTGAGAGAGAGAGAGCGTGTGTGTGTGTGTGTAACCAGCCTGAAGTGCTGCTGGTTTCTTAAGAAGCTGTAGGACCAGTTTGTGCGGGCAGCTGAGTTTCTCTCTCACAACATTATTACATCATGAAGTTTGTGGCACTGCAGACTGTTCCTGTCAAGACTCAGCATTTATGCTTTCAACCACTATATCAGAGTGTAAATACTGTGTATATATATATATATATAACTGATATCACATCAGACACTTTAAGTCTGGATTAGTAAAGGCTGGCTCAGGTTTTCCACACTGTGGGTGTTTTTTAACGATGTGATGTTGATCGATTGTGACTCAGTTTTCAGCTGGAGGCTCTCTCAGTGATGGGGTTATAGATTAACCTCATTCTCCACACAAACCTGTGACCGCGAGGAACGGCCTCTATCTGCTGTTTGGTGATAAAGCGCTGGGATTAAAGCCTGAACAGCAGTGGATGAGCCATAGCTCGGCTGAATGGGGTGCTGGACTGGACGGTCTATTTAAACCACAGCGCCGATGGCTCCAGTTACATGAATGGAACAAGTTCACCGACACTGATCTGACACATTGTCAAGCTGCTGACCGTGTGTGTGTGTGTGTGTGTGTGTGTGTGTGTGTGTGTGTTCTGGACACCGTAGACACCACATGCTCCCTAACGGCTGGTAAATGACGCTCTCCAGTGGGGATTGAAGCCTCGTCACAGATGGTGTCAGTCTCAACCATCTGCTGCTGCCCCGGAGCCGAAGCCAGTGACTTACAGCAGCATCATGAGCCCTCAGTAGTGTTGATCAATCCAGATCTGCCGTCATGAGCCCTCAGTAGTGTTGATCAATCCAGATCTGCATCATGAGCCCTCAGTAGTGCTGATCAGTCCAGATCTGCATCATGAGCCCTCAGTAGTGCTGATCAGTCCAGATGTGCAGCATGAGCCCTCAGTAGTGCTGATCAGTCCAGATCTGCAGCATGAGCCCTCAGTAGTACTGATCAGTCCAGATCTGCATCATGAGTCCTCAGTAGTGCTGATCAGTCCAGATCTGCAGCATGAGCCCTCAGTAGTACTGATCAGTCCAGATCTGCATCATGAGTCCTCAGTAGTGCTGATCAGTCCAGATCTGCAGCATGAGCCCTCAGTAGTACTGATCAGTCCAGATCTGCATCATGAGTCCTCAGTAGTGCTGATCAGTCCAGATCTGCAGCATGAGCCCTCAGTAGTACTGATCAGTCCAGATCTGCATCATGAGTCCTCAGTAGTGCTGATCAGTCCAGATCTGCAGCATGAGCCCTCAGTAGTACTGATCAGTCCAGATCTGCATCATGAGTCCTCAGTAGTGCTGATCAGTCCAGATCTGCAGCATGAGCCCTCAGTAGTACTGATCAGTCCAGATCTGCATCATGAGTCCTCAGTAGTGCTGATCAGTCCAGATCTGCAGCATGAGCCCTCAGTAGTACTGATCAGTCCAGATCTGCATCATGAGTCCTCAGTAGTGCTGATCAGTCCAGATCTGCAGCATGAGCCCTCAGTAGTACTGATCAGTCCAGATCTGCATCATGAGTCCTCAGTAGTGCTGATCAGTCCAGATCTGCAGCATGAGCCCTCAGTAGTACTGATCAGTCCAGATCTGCATCATGAGTCCTCAGTAGTGCTGATCAGTCCAGATCTGCAGCATGAGCCCTCAGTAGTACTGATCAGTCCAGATCTGCATCATGAGTCCTCAGTAGTGCTGATCAGTCCAGATCTGCAGCATGAGCCCTCAGTAGTACTGATCAGTCCAGATCTGCATCATGAGTCCTCAGTAGTGCTGATCAGTCCAGATCTGCAGCATGAGCCCTCAGTAGTACTGATCAGTCCAGATCTGCATCATGAGTCCTCAGTAGTGCTGATCAGTCCAGATCTGCAGCATGAGCCCTCAGTAGTACTGATCAGTCCAGATCTGCATCATGAGTCCTCAGTAGTGCTGATCAGTCCAGATCTGCAGCATGAGCCCTCAGTAGTACTGATCAGTCCAGATCTGCATCATGAGTCCTCAGTAGTGCTGATCAGTCCAGATCTGCAGCATGAGCCCTCAGTAGTACTGATCAGTCCAGATCTGCATCATGAGTCCTCAGTAGTGCTGATCAGTCCAGATCTGCAGCATGAGCCCTCAGTAGTACTGATCAGTCCAGATCTGCATCATGAGTCCTCAGTAGTGCTGATCAGTCCAGATCTGCAGCATGAGCCCTCAGTAGTACTGATCAGTCCAGATCTGCATCATGAGTCCTCAGTAGTGCTGATCAGTCCAGATCTGCAGCATGAGCCCTCAGTAGTACTGATCAGTCCAGATCTGCATCATGAGTCCTCAGTAGTGCTGATCAGTCCAGATCTGCAGCATGAGCCCTCAGTAGTACTGATCAGTCCAGATCTGCATCATGAGTCCTCAGTAGTGCTGATCAGTCCAGATCTGCAGCATGAGCCCTCAGTAGTACTGATCAGTCCAGATCTGCATCATGAGTCCTCAGTAGTGCTGATCAGTCCAGATCTGCAGCATGAGCCCTCAGTAGTACTGATCAGTCCAGATCTGCATCATGAGTCCTCAGTAGTGCTGATCAGTCCAGATCTGCAGCATGAGCCCTCAGTAGTACTGATCAGTCCAGATCTGCATCATGAGTCCTCAGTAGTGCTGATCAGTCCAGATCTGCAGCATGAGCCCTCAGTAGTACTGATCAGTCCAGATCTGCATCATGAGTCCTCAGTAGTGCTGATCAGTCCAGATCTGCAGCATGAGCCCTCAGTAGTACTGATCAGTCCAGATCTGCATCATGAGTCCTCAGTAGTGCTGATCAGTCCAGATCTGCAGCATGAGCCCTCAGTAGTACTGATCAGTCCAGATCTGCATCATGAGTCCTCAGTAGTGCTGATCAGTCCAGATCTGCAGCATGAGCCCTCAGTAGTACTGATCAGTCCAGATCTGCATCATGAGTCCTCAGTAGTGCTGATCAGTCCAGATCTGCAGCATGAGCCCTCAGTAGTACTGATCAGTCCAGATCTGCATCATGAGTCCTCAGTAGTGCTGATCAGTCCAGATCTGCAGCATGAGCCCTCAGTAGTACTGATCAGTCCAGATCTGCATCATGAGTCCTCAGTAGTGCTGATCAGTCCAGATCTGCAGCATGAGCCCTCAGTAGTACTGATCAGTCCAGATCTGCATCATGAGTCCTCAGTAGTGCTGATCAGTCCAGATCTGCAGCATGAGCCCTCAGTAGTACTGATCAGTCCAGATCTGCATCATGAGTCCTCAGTAGTGCTGATCAGTCCAGATCTGCAGCATGAGCCCTCAGTAGTACTGATCAGTCCAGATCTGCATCATGAGTCCTCAGTAGTGCTGATCAGTCCAGATCTGCAGCATGAGCCCTCAGTAGTACTGATCAGTCCAGATCTGCATCATGAGTCCTCAGTAGTGCTGATCAGTCCAGATCTGCAGCATGAGCCCTCAGTAGTACTGATCAGTCCAGATCTGCATCATGAGTCCTCAGTAGTGCTGATCAGTCCAGATCTGCAGCATGAGCCCTCAGTAGTGCTGATCAATCCAGATCTGCCGTCATGGCCTGAAAGACAGTGAGAGTTATTGTTGAAGGCTCTGAGCTAGTTATCCAAAAATGTGGTCAGACGGGTCGCCTTACGCCACAAACGCTCTGAATGCTTGGTAAAAGAGCACATATTGGTGGAATAAACCACAGCTATGATTGGGAGAAACAAATGACTCCAATTATATTTAGGTATTAAAGGAATTAAACGTTGATTTGAAATGAAATCGATCAATCTGGCTGCAGTGTTATTGGAGTAAATGACAGAACAATTGCTTTAATCATCATTGTACTGATTGACTTTGTCCAGTCTGATCTGTTCTGGGAAAATAACAGACAGATATTGATCAGGACTGTGTTTGTGCGGCCACTGCTGAAGTCACAGCAGAATTAAATTCTGTTTGGATCATTGAATCATTATTCCCTGTTTATCGCTGTGAAGCTGCTTTGAAACAATCTGTATTATGTATGAAATAAATGTGACTTGATTCAAAATGGCACAACTTTCCAGCTTTGATTGAGCTTGACCTCCTGAGCAGCCGGTTTGGCGTCGCGGGAGTCTTGTGTCCTGAGTTTCTGTGTGATTGTGGCTCTGGTCATTCAGTGATTTGGTGTTTGACCTGCAGGAATGTGTGTCCGGTCAGAGCCCCTCCCACTCCACAGTCTGCTCCAATCAGAGTTCAGGTGTGGCTCTGTGGGTGTGTGTGTGCAGGTAGAGCCGCATTCCTGCCGTGGCTCGGCTGAGAACAGGGAAAGTTCTGGATGCTTCTCTGCATCACACGCGCGTCTCGTCATTGTCAGGTTATTTGGAGATCTGGGGATTTCTGCGTTCTGTACTCTGCCACACTTACCTTCAGCAAAGTAAAAGGCGTTTGGAGTCGTGTCATCTCATCATTCACGTGACCGGTCCTCCTGAAACACCGTTAATCGCCCGTGAGCGTTCAGAGGCTTCACTCATGAATGAACAGAGACGGTCCTCCTGAAGCGCTGCTAATCGACCTCACATTAACGATGTTTCCGCACACTGCTCGTGAGCGTTCAGATGCTGATGATGCATTCAGATGATGTTTGAGGTCGTCATCAGAAATCACGTGACGTCTGTGTCTAATCTAAATCAGATCAGAGTTAATGAGGACGGCTTTAATGAGCTGAACTGATGCACTCTTTCACACACACACACACACCTCAATCCTCTGCTGTAATTACTTAAATTCACTTTAAAATCCAAAACTTTTCACATTGTGAGCCTGTTATTTGTTTAAATTATTTTTGAAAAGTAGTGATGTCATGTTTTATTTACCTTGTTTTATTTTTTGACATGCATTACTTACAGTGCTGTAGGTTACTTACAAATTGTAATCAATTACTGATTATGAATTACATGACAGAAATCCAAAGTTCTGGCATGAAACTCTAGATGGTGCAGTCCGATAGGTTAAACACAATCTGACATAATGACATCATCATCTCATGGTGCAGCTGATTGGTTCATCTTTGTATCAGCAGCCAATGAGCTCACTGCTGTACATTCATATATTAAGCTGCAGCGTGCTTCAGAAACCCTCCACCTTCCCCAGCTCCACCTGTATAGATCTGCTACGAGGTGATTCATGTGTGCTATATGGGGGTTATTTCATGTTATTTGTTCAGCAGCAGTATTTCTTTCATGCTCACAGCAGCATGTTGTGGATGTATTTGCAGCAGCAGATCTATTCCACCAAGACCAAACACATTAACATTGTCGTGTACATTACCATGCCAATCCCTCCGAGAGCTGTCATGATAGAAATTATAGTTCGTATCGTAATCTGTTGGATTACACATAGCAGGTAATGTATTCTGAATAATTTTTCATTACTTTTTTTTTAAATTACTTTTGACCTAAAATATATTCCATTCTTTATCAACATCATGATGTGTATTAAACATTACATTAAGCCTGGGTTTCCCAAACTGAACTTCGTGAATGAACTACAGGGGGTTTGAGAGTGGATGAATAGCCTTCCGAATGTGTAAAAGCGGAAGAAATTTGGAAAGGAACATTTAAAAGAGGAAAAATAATAATTAGGGCAAATCAAATTATAAATAATTTACAGTCATTATATGAATAATATGTGTCTGGCATTGTGAAGTGCAGGTGGTATCTGTAATTCCTTTAGACTTCATGGTAAATCATGGTAAAACACAAATATATAAAGTCGCTGAGCAGAAGCAGCTTCATACGTTTAGATTTGTTTCCCTGAATGTGGGCTTCACTTTAGCTCAACTCGCATTCGTATCTGTTTCATTGTGAAGCACTTTTTCTGCTGAAGACCTTCGTGTTCATTATCAGATGTTTAGAAAAAAATTAAGTCTGTAATTGTAGAGTGAATGGTTTTCAGTCGGATGAGGATCTGCCTTTTATTTAGGCTTGTTTTGCCCATTATCACTCTGTAATAACTGATTGTAATCGGTCAGTGTCTAATGACTGTCAACTGTATAATTGGTCGTTGTCTCAGTCAGGCATCGTTAGCATGAGCTGATGTTGACAGCTGTAGGTCATCACTGATCTTCAGAAGCTCTGGCAGATGATGTGTGCTTTATTCTCATATGAGTGCAAACTGTGCAAATAAATTAACAAGTACTGATAATGTTCTAAATATTAATATCAAGCTGAAGTTGATGATTTCACACACAGATGAGTGTGACTGCAGTGTGTGGTGACCTGAGCTGATCATCACGTGATTGTGTGTGTGTGTGTGTGTCGCAGGGAGCAGCCGATCTTCACCACCAGAGCTCATGTCTTCCAGATCGATCCCACCACTAAGAAGAACTGGGTTCCTGCCAGTAAACAGGCCGTTACCGTCTCGTACTTCTATGACAGCACACGCAACAGCTACCGCGTCATCAGCGTGGACGGGTCAAAGGTCAGACAGACACGTGTGTGTGTGTGTGAGTGAGTGAGTGAGTGATGGAGTCAGTGTAAGAGGGTCTGCTGAGTGTTCACACACACACACACACACACACACACACACTCTCACTCACACACACACACACACACACACTGAGGGTCTTCCTCTGCAGAGGGTTTATGGTTCATGTTGCCATGGAGATTTGGATCAGTCCCTCAGTATGGAGGCAGCAGTGATGATGTCACAGCGCAGACCTGCTGAGAGTCTCTCACACACACACACACACCTGCTGCTGTCACTCTCTGAGAGCAGATTGATGAAGACTCACACTCACATTAGTGTGTTAGTAGCAGACAGACAGACACACACACCTGCTGCCGTCACTCTGACAGCACACACACACACACGCACGTTTTAAGGTTAAATGGCTGGTCGAACACACACGTGTTACTCTGATCAGCTTCAAGAGTCACAGAATCATTGAGAGTGAAACACTGAAGAAATGACGTCAAATACACAAAATACACAAAATACACAGCTCTCTGTGTGTGTGTGTGTTCGTGTGTTCTTGCTGCTAATTAATCAGTCCAACTGTCTTTAACTCTTTCCAACAACAATTGTATTTATGACATATGAGACATATTTTGGAGAATTATAGAGAAGTGACATGTGAAAGATTAAGGACTAATATTAGATCAGCACTCTTATTTATTAACACACATGAAATGTGTGTTACGTTGTGATGTGTTTGTTTTTCAGGTGATCATCAACAGCACAATCACCCCCAATATGAACTTCACTAAAACGTCGCAGAAGTTTGGCCAGTGGGCGGACAGTCGTGCAAACACAGTGTTTGGACTCGGCTTCGCCTCCGAACAACAGCTGTCCAAGGTCTGACAATACGTCACGCATGCTTGCACACATCACACAAACACACATCTCACACACAAACACATCACACACACACACACACAGGCTGTCACACACACAGATCATCACACGTGAATGCACACTCTCTCACACACACACAGGCCGTCACACATGCATGCACACACACAAACACATCACACAAACACAGGCCGTCACGCATGCATGCACACACACAAACACATCACACACATCTCACACACACACACACACACACACACACAAACACATCACACACACACAGGCCGTCACACACATCACACACAGGCCGTCACGCATGCATACACACACACACACACACACACACACAGGCCGTCACGCATGCATGCACACTTGATGTGGCTGTTTTTGATGTTGATGTTTTATAATGATCTGAAACGGTCGCAGCACGTGTTTCTGCAGTAACTGTAGAAGCAAAACACCTTTATGAAGGTTCATATGTTCATTTCATAAGCCTTTTGACAATCAGAGGCGTAAAAGTCCCAATCCGTGTTTTTTTTTTTCCTGTCCTGATCCGTGTTTTTTCTGTGTTTTACCTCAGTTTGCTGAGAAGTTCCAAGAGGTCAAAGAAGCTGCGAAACTGGCCAGAGAAAAATCTCAGGAGAAGATGGAGACGTCCAGCGACCAGTCGCAGGTACATGTAACAACATGATCGTCATCTGAAAAACAAACACGCAGTCCTGCAGGTTCAGCAATCCAACGCTCTCCATTGACTTTTTATTGCGGGAAGCTGCCTCTTTGTCATTTCTGACTTATAATAAAACAGAACAATGTCTAAAAGCTGCTGTGTGACAAGGTGTACAGTAAACAAGCTAAAAAACCCAGAACTATGTATGAACTACGTCGACCCAAAAAACTAAATGGTACTCAGTAGCTTGTATGGCCCCCATGTGCTTGTATGCATGCATGCTCCTAATGAGACGATGGATGGTGTCCTGGGAATTTCCTCCCAGATCTGGACCAGGCATTACTGAGCTCCTGGACAGTCTGAGGTGCAAGTCCTGCTGTGTGACAAGGTGTACAGTAAACAAGCTAAAAAACCCAGAACTATGTATGAACTACGTCGACCCAAAAAACTAAATGGTACTCAGTAGCTTGTATGGCCCCCATGTGCTTGTATGCATGCATGCTCCTAATGAGACGACGGATGGTGTCCTGGGAATTTCCTCCCAGATCTGGACCAGGCATTACTGAGCTCCTGGACAGTCTGAGGTGCAACCTGGACTGAAACATAATGTCCCAGAGGTGTGCTATTGGATTTAGGTCAGGCGAGCGTGGGGGCCATTCAATGGTATCAATTCCTTCATCCTCCAGGAACTACCTGCATACTCTGGCCACATGAAGCCGGGCATTGTGTGCACCAGGAGGAACCCAGGACCCACTGCACCAGCGTAGGGTCTACCTAATGGCAGTCAGGGTGCCATTGTCCAGCCTGTAGAGGTCTTTGCGTTCCTCCATGGACATGCCTCCCCAGAACATCACTGACCCACCACTAAACCGGTCATGCTGAATGATGTTACAGGCAGCATAACGTTCTCCACGGTTTCTCCAGACCCTTTTACATCTGTCACATGTGCTCAGGGTGAACCTGCTCACATCTGTGAAAACCACAGGGCACCAGTGGAGGACCTGCCAATCCTGGTGTTCAATGGCAAATGCCAGTCGAGCTCCACGGTGCCGGGCTGTGAGCACAGGGCCCACTAGAGGACTAGAGCAGGGCTCTCAGGCCACCCTCATGAAGTTTGTTTCTGATTGTTTGGTCAGAGTCTTTCACACCAGTGGCCTGCTGGAGGTCATTCTGTAGGGCTCTGGCAGTGCTCATCCTGTTCCTCCTTGCACAAAGGAGCAGACCTTCTACGGCTCTGTCCAGCTCTCCTAGAGTAACTGCCTGCCTCCTGGGAGCTCCTCCATGCTCTTGAGACTGTGCTGGGAGACACAGCAAATCTTCTGGCAATGGCACGTATGGATGTGCAATCCTGGAGGAGTTGGACTGCCTCTGCAACCTCTGTAGGGTCCAGGTATCGCCTCATGCTACCAGTAGTGACACTGACCCTAGCCAAATGCAAAACTAGTGAAAAACAGTCAGAAAAGATGAGTGGGGAAAAAAATGTCAGTGGCCTCCAGCTGTAAAACCATTCCTGTTTTAGGGGTTGTCTCGTTGTCCATCTAGTGCACTCGTTTTTAATTTCATTAACACCAAAGCAACTTAAACTGATTAGGCAAGGCAAGGCAAGTTTATTTATATAGCACATTTCATACACAATGGTAATTAAAAGTGCTTTACATAAAAGAAATAAGAAAATAATAAAAAAAAAAAGAATCACAACAATAAAACAAGGAATTTAAAATTTTGAAAATGATTTAAAAATGTATTTAAAAGGTTTAAAATGAATTTAAAACAGTTAAGAATAGAAATTATTATATCTCCAAGTCTTGACTGGAAACAAGACATCTAATTCTTGCAATGTTTTTGAGATGATAGTATGCTGATTTAGTTACTGCTTTGACATGACTACTGAAACTAAGGTCTGTCTCCAGAATCACACCAAGATTCCTGACTTGATTTTTAGTTGTTAGACCCCTAGAGTCAAGGTATGCATTCACCTTGAGAACTTCATCTTTGTTTCCAAATGTAATGACTTCGGTTTTCTCCTTGTTTAACTGAAGAAAGTTCTGGCACATCCAACTGTTAATTTCATCAGTGCATTGGCAGAGGGAGTCAATGGGGCTGTAGTCATTTGGAGATAAGGCTAGGTAAATCTGGGTATCATCAGCATAGCTGTGATAGGCGATTTGGTTCTTTCTCATTATTTGACATAGTGGGAGCATATACAACCGGGATTAACAACCCCCTCCGCTACTTGACTGACCAGATCAATATCCCATGAGTTTAATTGACTTGATGCTATACTCTGATTAAGAAGTGTTCCTTTAATTGTTTTTGAGCAGTGTAGTAGTAAAGATGAAGGGATGATCGTGCTCCACGCTACTGTTAGAACTGAGGCGTTTATACAGCGATCTGTAGCGCCACATCAAAGAGCACCAAAACGACATGTATTGTCTGAATTTTGTGAAAAAATTTAATGATTTGATCGGTACACATGCATACCTACCGAAAGACCCATAATGAAAATTTTCGGTACAAATATGTGTACGGTTACACCCCTAATATTTATATATTCAGTGCCGATCCTAGAATTCTGTGGGCCCTAAGCAAAACTTTGTCGGGGCCCCAAAATGCTCCCCAAATCCTTAACCTTTCTTTCAGAGCAGTTTCACTGTCAAAACAACAGTGAGTTAAAGTCAGTAATACAAAAAAGGAAGACAATTGCAAACAATAGGGCAAATACAACAGAATAAAATAAACAATTTAGCCTATAATAGCCTACTATACAGAAATTGATTAAAGTAATCAAATGTACAAATAAATCACTGCATAGACTTCACCATATAAATTAATTCATAAAGTTAATAACAATATTAAGTGAAGAGCAGATGATGACAGAGGCAGGTTTATACAGTAGGATGCTGTCACGGAGTGCACAGATCTAATATACTGACTAGCATTCGATTGTTTATGTTCATTTAAGACATAACTGACTGTGTTTAGTGAAAACTCATCAAGACGGACATTTTGACATATACATAGAGCCATATTTGTCCGTGTTTCACTCCGCCTTGAATCGCGCTCGTGGAAAGCTCTTGAGAAACATTAATGTTTTCATAGCAGCTGGCCGAAATCAACAACAAAACTGAAAGGAAATCATCTTTGAGAGGAAGGGGGCCTCCTGATGTTTCGGGGCCCTACGCAACATGCGTACGTTGCATATAGAGAGGATCGGCTCTGTATATATAAAACAATTTAGAAAAAGTAAATCCAAAGTTCTGGCATGAAACTCTAGATGGTGCAGTCCGATAGGTTAAACACAATCTGACATAATGACATCATCATCTCATGGTGCAGCTGATTGGTTATCTTTGTATCAGCAGCCAATGAGCTCACTGCTGTACATTCATATATTAAGCTGCAGCGTGCTTCAGAAACCCTCCACCTTCCCCAGCTCCACCTGTATAGATCTGCTACGAGGTGATTCATGTGTGCTATATGGGGATTATTTCATGTTATTTGTGCAGCAGCAGTATTTCTTTCATGCTCACAGCAGCATGTTGTGGATGTATTTGCAGCAGCAGATCTATTCCACCAAGACCAAACACATTAACATTGTCGTGTACATTACCATGCCAATCCCTCCGAGAGCTGTCATGATAGAACTCATATTATGGTAAATTTAAAGTAATAAATTAAAGGGTTAGTTCACCCCAAAATGAAGATTCGTTTTGTTCATTCATGTCGTTCCAAACCTGTAAGACCTTCATTCATCTTCGGAACACAAATCAAGATATAGTTCTGGCATGAAACTCTAGATGGTGCAGTCCGATAGGTTAAACACAATCTGACATAATGACATCATCATCTCATGGTGCAGCTGATTGGTTATCTTTGTATCAGCAGCCAATGAGCTCACTGCTGTACATTCATATATTAAGCTGCAGCGTGCTTCAGAAACCCTCCACCTTCCCCAGCTCCACCTGTATAGATCTGCTACGAGGTGATTCATGTGTGCTATATGGGGGTTATTTCATGTTATTTGTTCAGCAGCAGTATTTCTTTCATGCTCACAGCAGCATGTTGTGGATGTATTTGCAGCAGCAGATCTATTCCACCAAGACCAAACACATTAACATTGTCGTGTACATTACCATGCCAATCCCTCCGAGAGCTGTCATGATAGAACTCATATTATGGTAAATTTAAAGTAATAAATTAAAGGGTTAGTTCACCCCAAAATGAAGATTCGTTTTGTTCATTCATGTCGTTCCAAACCTGTAAGACCTTCATTCATCTTCGGAACACAAATCAAGATATTTTTGATGGAATCTGAGAGCTCTCTGACCCTCCCATAGACCGCAACACAACTGAAATGTTCCCAGACAGAATCGTAGCAAGGCGATCGGTAAAAGAGTCCATGTGACATCAGTGGCTCAACTTCAATTTTACGAAGCTACGAGAATACTTTTTGTGTGCAAAGAAAACAAAAATGGCGACTTTATTCAACAATTCTTCTCCACCGAGTTACTGTCTTCTGCCATTTTGGAGAGTATCACAACACATACACACGCTTTACCCTAAGTGTAAACGACACCGATTACTTTTGTTAAATAAATTATTTTTGTTTTCTTTGCGCACAAAAAGTATTCTCATAGCTTCGTAAAATTGAAGTTGAGCCACTGATGTCACATGGACTCTTTTACCGATCGCCTTGCTACGATTCTGTCTGGGAACATTTCAGTTGTGTTGCAGTCTATGGGAGGGTCAGAGAGCTCTCAGATTCCATCAAAAATGTCTTGATTTGTGTTCCGAAGGTGAATGAAGGTCTGGAACTACGTGAGGGTGAGTAATTAATGACAGAATTTTCATTTTGGGGTGAACTAACCCTGTAATTTACTAAATTGCTTCAGTCATAATCTTACATTCATTTGTTTTTGTTTGCTATAGATAAAATCATCTTCATAATGTAAAGCAGTCAATGGTATGCCGTTTTCATCAGACGTCAGTAAAGTGTGTGTGTGAGTGACGTCTGTTAACATGAAATTGTTTCGTTTTGTCAGGAATCTGGCCGTGAAACTCCATCAGGCAATCAAGCGTCCAGCATCAACGGAACGGATGATGAGAAGATCTCACACGTGCCGGAGAACACAGCGCTGATGAGTGAGAACGACCGGCTGAAGTCTGTAGCGGAGCATAGGTGAGACGCTCACTGACTCCTCTGATATTCCTTTATTCATATTCCTGATATTTATAACCAGCCCTAAAGCGTGTGCCTGTGTGTGCGCGCGTGTGTGTGTCTGACAGTAAGAAGCTGGAGACGGAGCTGCAGGCGCTGAAGGACAGTAACACTCGGCTGACGGACACGCTGCAGGAGGCCAACAGTAACGCCGAGATATGGAAGAGTAAAGTGACACAGAGCCAGGACGAGAACAACCAGCTGAGGAACAAGGTGAAGAAGTAACTTAGCTTAGCTCAGTTTAGTTGAGTTTAACCCCTGGGTTACAGAATCAGAATCATATTGAGCTAACGGTGTGTGTGTGTGTGTGTAGATCTCAGAGCTGGAGGATCAGTGTAAGGAGGTGAATCTGGAGAGAGAGAGAAACGCTCAGCTGAGTCTCAGAATTCAAGAGCTGGAAGCAGATCTGCAGGAAAAAGAACAGGTGAGTTTCACTCTCTCTCTTACACACTCTCTCACACACACACGCACACACTCACACACACACGCTCTCTCTCACACACACACACACTCGCACACACACTCTCTCTCGCACACACTCGCACACACACTCTCTCTCACACACACACATGCACACACTCACACACACACGCTCTCTCACGCACACACTCACACACACACGCTCACTCACACACACACACACACACACACACACACTCGCACACACACTCTCTCACACACACACACACATACTCATGTGCACCTGCCGTATTCTCCTGTCACGACTGCACTCACACACACACACACACACACTCACACACACACTCGCACACACACTCTCTCACACACACATACTCATGTGCACCTGCCGTGTTCTCCTGTCACGACTGCACTCACACACACACACACACACACTCACACACACACTCGCACACACACTCTCTCACACACACATACTCATGTGCACCTGCCGTGTTCTCCTGTCACGACTGCACTCACACATGTTTGATGGTGTTTTTCAGGAGCTGGAGAATCTGCGCAAACAGGCAGAAACCATCCCGCAGCTCATGGCCAAATGTGAAAGTGTCACGGCCAAACTACAGGTGAACAACAACAAACACACATTCTTCAAACAGACCTCAGTCGCGGAGCATACACAGCTCGTTCCTCCGCTGAGAATCCTCATTTCTGCTCGTCTTTGAGTCTGAATGAAGTTGTTTGGTGTTTGCTGAAGTTGAGTTTCAGTCAGACTACAGCAGTAAAATACCTTTTTCAGATGTCACGTAAACGCTTTAGTCCAGCTGAAATCAGTCTGGTTTTTGTTTTACTAACAGATCCAGGTGATGTGATTGTATTTTGGGGTCTGCACACGTTAATCCGCATCTGCGTTTGAAAATACTGGATTATTCTTTGTCACATACACACGTGCAGATGAAGGCTGTGTCTGCTCATGTAAACCTAATGTTTGTAATCACTATTTCACTATGCAAGTGCTGTATGTTCTGTCAGTATAAATCAATTTACAGTCTGTATGTTCAGCTGTATGCACAGAATATCTAGTGTTAAACATTTCAAACAAACTCAAAACAGAATGTTGGAGAAACATCAAAAGATCTGCTCTGCAAACGCTAAATAACTGATTAAACATACAGAAATATGTTTCAGATGGGGTCAGTGTTTGTTGCTCTGGATGTGCGTCATAATCGTTGATGAGTGGATTCAGAAGCAGCAACTTACTAGAAAAAGCCAAGAATAGCAATATCTGCTTTATTAAAACATCTTGAAGCTGAGATGTCTGGAAACACGTGATAAAGATTTTAAAAATCGTTGAATCTGTTTTTTGGAGTTTCAGAGGGAACAATCATAATTGTGTAAATAGAAGCGAACACAAATGCTGAGCCGTTGTGTTGCTGTATTTAGAGATGTTATTTTCTTCAGCTTCACATTCCAGCCGAACTTTAGACGACTGTCTCTGTTTACTGCACTGAACTTTGACCTCACGCCAGGAATAGTCATGCTGTTAGAATTATATAAATGCTCGTCGTGTCAGTGTGAATCTTCAATTCTGCATGTTGTTTGCGAGGTTTACTGATGCTGCTGATGTTTTACAGGCTGCAGAAATGGCCAGCAGAGACCAGAGCGAGAAGATGACGCTCCTGCAGAGCGAGATCGAAGACAGTCAGCACAAGCAGAAGAACATGAAGACCGAGCTCAAGAAGTTCATGGACGTTCTGGACGGGAAGATTGATGAGCTCCATGAAGTTCGTCAGGGCATTTCTAAACTGGGCGTCGATAACTGAACACACACACACACACACACACTCTCTCTCTCTCTCTCACACTCACACACACACACACACGTGCGGACTGAAGGCTGAATTTAACGGCTGCAGATCTCAGGGCCCTTTGGAATCGCTGATATGCACAAACACAGGTGAACTGCAGAATCACTAAGTGCCTGATGGTGGCGCTCTCTCTCTCCGCCTGCCCTCATAAACTCTTCTGACAATCGTCCTGTTTAACGCTAGAGAGGCTCCTCATGCAATACTCGCCTCAGGCAGCAGGATGCACTTCTCTTCTGCTTCTGTTGGTTTGTTTGTGTTTTTGAGATGGAGTCGCATTCAGTTTATTCTTATTCTGATCGATGAAAATATGAGCCAAATATCTGCTGTGATGAAGGCAGTGTGCTTGTTCGGTGCAGATGTGTGTGTCGTGCTCAGCAGTGTTTGTGACGTGCTCCTCCGCTCTGTGTGTGTGTGTGTGTGTGTGTGAGTGAGCTAAGCTAATAATCTCTGCCTTTCCTGAGTCTGTGATCGGAGCACTTGAGCTTCCAAACTCTCTCCTCAGTTCCTTTCAGTTGTTGTTGTTTTTCTCTTGATGCTGTTTGAATGTCGTGGCTGGTGTATTATTGAGTGTTTAATGTGGGCGAGTGTCTTTAACACCCTCTAAAACACACACACACCTTACTGGAAACTTGAGCCTTTTTCCCTCTTTCTGGAAAAAAAAAACTTTTGTTGATCAAAATTGTAAAATAAATACTTGTGGAAATCTAGTTTCTGAAGGAGATCTCTGTGTTTGAGGCTCTTACAGGCGGTGGGCGTCTCTCTCTCGCCCTCTGACTGGTGAGAGGATGTGTTGCCTTGGCAACCTGCATCCCACACACGGCTGCTATTGATTGTGTGAGTATACTGCAATCCAGATGTGAATACATTTGTTCATATAGTTGTTTTATCGTTGTTAGTAGATTTCTGTGGTTTCATCATAATGCAGCCTGTTTCCATTGAAACACTGGATTCTGTGATGCTCAGGATTTGTATTGCACCTTCATCTGGTACACTCTCTCTCACACACACTAACACAATCAAACTACCACACACACACTTGCACTCTTACACACACACACACTGACACAATCAAACTACACCACACACACATTCTTAACACAATCAAACTACCACACACACACTTGCACTCTTACACACACACACACTGACACAATCAAACTACACCACACACACATTCTTAACACAATCAAACTACCACACACACACACACAATCAAACTACACCACACTCTAACACACACACACACTAACACAATCAAACTACCACACACACACTTGCACTCTTACACACACACACACAGACACAATCAAACACCCACACACACACTTTCACTCTCACACACACACACACACACACTCTGACACAATCAAACTACACCACACACACATTCTTAACACAATCAAACTCCCACACACACACTCGCACTCTCACACACACACACACACACACTCTGACACAATCAAACTACACCACACACACATTCTTAACACAATCAAACTCCCACACACACACTCGCACTCTCACACACACACACACACACACTCTGACACAATCAAACTACACCACACACACATTCTTAACACAATCAAACTCCCACACACACACTCGCACTCTCACACACACACACACACACACTCTGACACAATCAAACTACACCACACACACACTCTTAACACAATCAAACTACCACACACACACTTGCACTCTTACACACACACACACACTGACACAATCAAACTACACCACACACACATTCTTAACACAATCAAACTACCACACACACACTTACACTCTTACACACACACACACACACACACACACACTCTGACACAATCAAACTACCACACACTCTAACACACACACACACACACTAACACAATCAAACGACCACACACACACTCTTAACACAATCAAACTACCACACACTCTAACCCACACACACTAACTCAATCAAACTACCACACACACACTCTTAACACAATCAAACTACCACACACTCTAACCCACACACACTAACTCAATCAAACTACCACACACACACTCTCTAACACACACACACACACACACACACACACACAATCAAACTACCACACAATCAAACTACACCACACACACACTAACACACACAATCAAACTACCACACACTCTAACACACACACACACACACACGCACTAACTCAATCAAACTACCACACACACACACTCTCTCTAACACACACACACACACACACTGGGTCTCAGGGCTTTCCTCTTCTCTCGTGGAATCATCTGGACTCTGTGAATTTCTGCCTTTTAGCTTCCATCAGCAACATTTTCTGATATTTTCAGCTGTTTGTGTAGATCAGTGTTTCCCACTATTTTCAGGAGAAGTAGTGAAGTACCCTCTAAAATCAAACCAGATCCCCAAATAATCACCTAATCATCCAATCTCTTTAAACAGACCAGATTTCTATTCAAATCATGATCTGCTCAATAAGCCGGTCGTTCCGATAAATCATGCTGCACACATCTACACACATTCACCACAATGGAGAATTTGTATTAGTTTGCCAACATAATTTTACCACAATATTACTGGTTTTACTGTATTTTTTATCAGATAAATGCAGCCTTGGTGAGCAGAAGAGACTTCTTTCAGAAACATTAAAACGTCTTACCTTCCTCAAAATTTGAACAGTATTTAAAAAACGTTCTATGTTTGGAGAAGTTTCGTTTGTTAATTGTATCCTCTCGGTTTGAAGTGCTTGACAAACAAGAACAAATGTATTTCTTGCTGATTAACATCTGACATGTTAAGGGCTAAAACAATAAAATTGTGGTTTGTTCAAATTTTTTATTAAGAATATTTTTTACAAAAATAAAGAGACCGTAGACACACAATTTGAGTATTTTTAGCTTCAGTCCTATAAAAATGTGAAAATTATGATAAATGTTACATTTGTTATTAAATTGTTATCAGGGACACATGAGCAGTAGCTGCACGTTTGTTTTAATAACAATTTCTGTGTAAAATCCTTTTTAAACCAATCCCATTTTGTCTGCTACTGGGTTGAGAAAAAAAGGTGTCTAAAGCTGAAAAAACTGAAAATAATAATAAAAGGTCTTTAATGCCAGAGGTTGGAAAAAAACATTTTTTGTGGAGGTTTGATATGTGCCTAATGATGTGGGGTATTTAGAAGTTGAATCACATGTAGTTAAAAAAACGTATATTCCAAGTTGAAATGTTACCGAATCCCAGGAATAACCCTTGGACGTTACGTATTTTCTAGTTCGGGGAACAGACACAGTCTCTATAGTGTGATATCTAGGTGAAAGAGTCTCTATGTGCTGAGAATTAACTGATTTCTGTGACGTGAGGTGGCTAGCAGACGGTCGGTTTAGCCAGGGCCCCAGTTAGTCAAGTACAAACTAAGACTACGTGCCATATTTCTAGAGAAGAGCAGCACCACCCCAGGAGGGATGAAAACCATCTCTTTTCAACAGGTCAGGTCTGCCCCAAACACTCCTCCAACTGTCTATGAAACCTATGTTATTCTGCGGGCACCACTTAGACATCCAGCCATTGAGTGACGGCAGTCTGCTGTGGATCTCGTCACCACGGTAAGCAGGGAGGGGACCAGAGCATACTACAGTGTCTGACATCGTACTTGCAAGTTCACACACCTCTTTAATGTTATTTTTAGTGATCTCCGACTGGCGAAGTCAAACATCATTAGTGTTTTCAGTTATTACATGCAGAAGTTTTTGGACTGATAATTTACACCTATTTTTTCAGAACTTAGCAGTAGGAAATTACTAGTCATCTAGTTTATATCGTCTATGCATTCCGTTAACTTTGCAAATTGGAATGTTTTGTCAGGCCACAAAGAAATCTAGAGCGGAGTGTCATCAGCACAACAGTGAAAGATAACACTGTGTTTCCTGATGATATCTCCCAAGGGCAACTTGTAAAGCGTGAACAGCAACGGTCCTAGTACTGAGCCTTGAGGTTCTCCATACTGCATTTGTGAATGACATGACACCTGATACCTTTATTTTGAAATAAAATATACAATATAACAATTGAAATATGGTTTTGAATGAATTGCATATGTTGAATTGCACATTTCCATATTCAGGTTTTGTTTAGCACATTTTAAGAATCACTGGTCCAGGCTTTGATACTATCAAGAGTTCCAAGAAAAGAAAAGAAAAGCATTCTGCATAAGTCAGACTTTCCCTCAAACACAGACAAACAGATACAGATGCTACAATCTTGATCAGGCACTTTAATGAAAGCGTTCACAGATCACAGATGTTTTTCACACATTTCTAATGTTTAGTGCAACTGGCTATATTTTCATGGAAAATTACTTATGTATTCCTACGACAAGACATATCAGTGCAAAAACCCAAAGTTTGGCAAAGGAAGTTAGCCATGGCAATCAGAAATGGCAGCTGAAACGGCGTTGTCCAGCAGCAGTGTTTGTGAATCACAGACGGTCGTGTTTAACTCTCCCAGTCTCCAGACGGCGCGTCTGATGGCTCTTCATCATCAGAGTCGTTAGACACCTTCTTCATCCTAATCATGGCGGCTTTGATGCTCCGCTCGAGCTCTGAGTCGGAGCTGTGCGTGGGGCCGCTGGAGGGCGGGACTTTCTTCAGGGTGACTCCCTGACGGATGGCTGACAGCAGGCTGTTCCTGACGTCGCCGCTCTCTGCGCTGACCGTGACCTTCCGCAGCTGTGTCTGTCCACGCTGCAGCGACGCTAACAGCTCGTCCATCGATCCTGCATCACAAACATGACATTCACTCAAACGGGTGAAACTCTCACAGACTGAAACATGACTGAAATGACACGCTCGGATGTAACCGGACTCTCTCATCTAGCAAATTGAACGAACAGAAGTTTACGCTGCTCTTAATATTTGTCCCGCTATGAACCCTCTCTAAGCTCCTCGAGCCGCTCCTGAATGTGACACGCGAGACGTCTTCGTTTAATGACTGGCTCAGCTTTGAGGATTTAGGATGAGTCTGAGCTTCTCTTAACTTTAAGAAGATTTTACAAAAAACTTGAATTCTTAAGTACAAGAAACTAGACTAGAATAAGTATTTTTGAGAATACATAAACTATTCATAACTTTTCCTTAAGATGAAACAAGAAGAAAACAGCATTCAAGAACTTTATTTTATATTTTGTGAATCCGGCCCCTGGAGATGCAGTTCTGTGAATAATAATATAATTCAATCGACCTCATAAACACTATTTCTGTCAGGTCCACTATCGTCAAAGTTGAGATGACTGACAATTAGCATACAGTCTGGATTGGCGGTATGGTTCTGTTCTGGGCAAGAACATGCAGCCTAGCGTGGATAAGAGCAGCAATAACTGGGTAAACAGAACAGAACCAACATAAATGTATATCATTTATGTTCAATAATTAATGTAAACATTTAAGAAATTAGTCTGATTCAAAGGGGAATCAGTATCAGTAATCAGTATAATTACTGTAAGAATAAAGTATTGTTCGTTTTTTTACACACACAGAATCTGGTTTAGACCAGACGTGATCATAGGGTGCGTCTCAATCAGCTCCCTTGTTCAGTAGTCAGGGCACTGATCAGGGAGTCGGCCATCGGTCTCAATCGCGAAATCCTTCCAGTGCACTGGAACGTTCACTCTCTGAAAAATCCCACAATGCACCGCAAAAACTAGGGAGCATCGGCACTCACTATGCTCCCTAACCGGAAATAACTTCTGAAGCGTGAAACATAAACCACCACAAAAATAATTTAAGAATTAGATTGGTCCTGCCTGTTGTTTATTAATTCCAGTGATGATGTTCTACTATGTTGTCCATTGACGCTGTACGTAATCATGTCACCAGTGACCGAATTCATGTACACGATCTACTGGTTCACGAGCTCGGGAGCTGATTGAGACGCACCCATAGAGTTTGTGAGACTCACCCGAGTTTTGCTCTAGAGTGTTTCGGACGGGCAGCTTCGCACTGATGGGTGGGGCAGGAGGAGGAGGAGGGAGGGGCGGAGGAGGTGGAGGTGGAGGAAGAAGAGGAGGAGGGTTAGGAGGAGCAGGAGGCGTCTGGTCTGGCTGTGCTGATGCCGATCCAGGTGGCAGCAGAATCTGCACCGGTATGTCTCGCTGCTTCTGACTCCTCCTCTTCCTGTGGGGGGTGGAGCTCTGCGGCCCCAGGTTGATGATTGACAGGGGCTGGGAGGAGTCATCTCTGCTGGAGTCATGTGACACTGGCTTCACATGAGCCGTCTGTAAAGCGTACTGACCCTGATGCCTCTAAACTCAGAAACACACAGGAAACAAACAGTGAAGCCATGATGAAAACAACACACACTCACGCACGTTTGTTTCTGTGAATTGGGGGGCTTTCCATAGACTTATATTGTCCTTATGTCCAAGACAAATTTCCTTAGGGACAAATAAAGCAATCCTAATCCTATTACTTTTATACTGACCAAATGATATTTTATATCCCCTAGCCCTAAACCTACCCCTTACAGAAAACCTGTTTGCATTCTTACACTTTCAGATAAACATAATTTACTATTTTTAATATTTTTTTTTCCCTCGTGGGGACCACAGGCCAGTCCCCACAATGTCAAAAATTCAGGTTTTACTATCTTTGTGGAGACATTTGGTCACACACACAGACGCACACACACGCACTCCCACACACACACACACACTCACACGCACACACACGCACACGTGCACATACACACACACATATACTCACACACACACACGCACGCGCACACACACATACTCACACTCACACACACATACTGTACATACACACACACTCACACACGCACGAGCACATACACACTCAAACGCATACTCACAGACACGCACATACAGTCACTCTCTCACACACACACACACACACACTCGCACACGCATGCACACACGCATGCACACACACACACTCACACGCACATACACACACGCATGCACACTCACACACTCACACGCACATACACACACGCAAACACACACACTCGTGCACGCACACACGCACATACACACACTAACACACGCACACCCACTCACACGCACAGCCTCACCTCTCTGAAGCTGCGCACTCTGTTGAGCGTCTTTGCTCTCTCATTCTCCACCCACTGCTTCATCTGCTCTTCCTCAGCTCTCCTCTTCTCTCGCTTCTGATCAAACACACACACACACAACATGAAGAAAGAAATGCAACACAGAAAGTTATCAGTCCAACCGAACGGAGTGTCATATGGCAGACTGCTGCATTCTGGGAAACGAAGAGCTCATCCACTGTTGTCCATAAAAAACAAGTTCATTTATTAAATATAATGAAATAATTTCAATGCAAATTTCATTTAATTCATTTTCATTCTGTATTCAATTACGTTTAAGAGAAGAATTGTAGAATAAAGTTATTTTTGTTTTCTTTGCGTACAAAAAGTATTCTCGTAGCTTCAAAAGATTACGGTTGAACCCCTGAAGTCACATGACTATTTTACTGATGATCTTACTAGGTTTCTGTGCCTTGACTGTGGTAGTTAGCGTTAGGGTTTCATCAATAACATCTTAAGAACGAAAGTCTTATGGGTTTTGAACAACATGGTGAGTAGTTAATGACAGAATTTTTAATTTTGGGTGAACTAACCCTTTAAACACACATACAGCAGTACGTCCACACCATGCTGCTGGAAGTATTTTTTCATGAATCTCAGACGTCTCGTGTGTTTGTGACTGCTCAGAGTTGGCTGAGAATGCGCTCACTAACAGTACACGTGTGCCACATTCACAGCACAAACACAATCAGCGCCTCAGATCTGCAGTCACTTCAGCGCAGGGAATTCTGGGAACGCGGGCGTGACCCCTGCCGGACTGAAGGCTCGGTCGTCATGGCAACTCAGTCGGCCCACAGATAGCCCACGGATCCGACGGTACCGTGACTCATTATGGGATGGTTTGTGGGGTGATGCAATGGGTTGAGGTTGCCGTGGTTACGGCGCGTTACTCACCAGCTGTGCGGTGTGGTGTTGGCGGAGCTGCTCCGATCTTTGCACGACTGAATGCTGCTGCTGCTCATGAGCCTGAACACACAGCTCCTGCAGACACACACACACACAGGATAAACACACACGACACGGACAGACAGAGTGTGTGTGTGTGTGTGTGTGTGTGTGTGTGTGAGAGAGAGAGAGTGTATGTGTGTATATGAGTGAGTGTGTGTGTGTCTGTGAGTGTGTGCGTGGAGTGTGTGTGTGTACCCGCTGGTTCCTCAGGTAAGCTCTGCGTGATGAAATCGCTCCTCTTTTGCTCTCCAGTTGTTTCAGGTGCTGCTGCAGGTGTGAGTGGGCGGGACTTACATCCACCTGAACATCCTGCAGCTCCTCGGGGTCCTCACAGGTGTCATAATACACCACCTGCTCCTGCAGCTCTGCAGAACACACACACACACACTCATCAGTCCTGGGGTTAAATATGGTCAGTCTCGTTATGTCACACCTGTTATTAAATACACCTGTCAATCACAACATTTATGGCTCCGAATAATCCTATAAATATATAGGACAGGCCTCATGAGCAAAACACGCATGCTAAATTATCTGAAGCTTAGCAGAAAATCAGCACATTTCAATGGAAAGGATGTGTGTGTGTGTGAGTGAGAGAGAGAGAGTTATAATATATTATAACTAATATATTACATATTAGTTATAATATATAAATAAATGTTAAGATGTTCTAATGTAAATGTTCAGATGTTAAACCATTCTCTTTGTTGTCTTAATGCTTTGGCAATACAAAATGTATTTTTGTCATGCCAATAAAGCTATTTGAATTGAATTGA